AAGTCTAGCCTTTTGCAATTCTCTTGAGAGCTCACATAGATGCGAACAATATATAGCAATGAATTTCACTTAGCGGAATCATTGAAGTAAAATTCTGGGAGGGATGGGAAATAACAAAAGAACTGCTTGACAATTTTCAGAGGTTTAGGGTTATTTTCGCGACATTTTACGGGAAGTTCGGTCCAAAACTAGCGACAGTTTTAAAGGGATTCGCAGAAAATCATTCGACAGGCTAAGGGTTAAGGGCGGGGTGGCACTTAATCCCGTTTGACGTCTATAACGTCGCATTAGGTCGGGAGCCGTCTCGTTCCATCAGCGTAGTCTTTAACCGCTGGACCTTTTTCTGGATCCGTACACACACCCTCAACAGAGGTGTAAGGTAAGTCACTTCCTGTCTGGCCTATTTACATTGAACCGGACTCAATTTTAGATTGGCTTCCTTCAATTTCTGAAGAACGTAATATTTTCTAAATGTTCTTAAGTGCTTTCCGACGATGATGTCATCAGGTATATCAGACAGGGTTCATAGGAAAGACCTCATAACACAGTCAGCATGAGGCGTTCGAATGTTGCCGGTGCATTACGTAATCCCAAATCCTTAAACTGCCAAAGTCCTTGCCCGGTAGCAAATGCTGTCTTTTCTCGGTCATTAGAATGTAATTCTTTCTGCCTGCTAATATCCACTCTTTAAATAAAGCGTCGAAAACCACTTGCTTGCAGAAAGAGTGCTCAGAATGTTGTCAGTTCTAGGAATAGGGTAGATGTTTTTCTTCACTGCCTCGTTAAACCGGCGGTAGTCAACGTAAAATCTAGTTGAATCGCCTTTCTTTCTGATCAGGATGATGGAAGAGGCCCATGGACTTGCTGAAGGCTCGATGACGTCGCTTTCTTACATGTCCTTTAGAAGTTTTCCTACCTTTTGCTGTTTAGCAATCGGTAGATGTCTTAGATGTTGCTTGATTGGTGGTATAACCCCGGTATCAATTCTATGCTGCGTCAAACTGGTTCCACGTATGTCGGAAGACGAGTGGGAGAAAACATTTTGAAATGACACGTTTGGCAGCACTCCTTTGTTCATCGCTTAGTTGTGCATTTTGCAATAATTTCGATATTAGGATCTCAAAAGACATGGAGATTGGTGGGTCGTTTAATACAGGTCATTGGAGTACATGCTGCAACCACTTCGCCTTTCCTCCGCGATAACTGTTCTGGATAAGTGCTGAGGCTATTCCATTACACTGTAGCAGAAATTTCTGTTTCCGGCTATGGATACAGGAAGCACAACTATTCACGCTGTTCTTGCTGTGACATCGACCTGAGCTATGATTTGGTGGACAGAATTAATCCTTCATCATTAATCCCGAATAGGTTTATGTCCTCACAGGTAGGATGCAGTTCGTTATTTTTAAAGAATAACAGTATTTCCTTAGAAAGCCAAAGCCAAATATGCAAGGCTCTGTAATATCTGCCATATGCGGCGTATGATGATAAGCGGCACTTCGAAACGTGATGTTAACGCTTAATTTTCGGTCGATGTCGATTTCTTCCGGGACAGTCTGGAGGGTAACGCAAGGCGGCGTTTTCAGATGAGTTTCCAACCTTAGTACCTTCCAGCTGTTCAGCCATATCTTTTCGATTGATGGTAACATTGGCTCCTACATCGTTGATCATATTGCAAGGAACTCCTCTGGTATGTGGCATGCCAGACAAGATGAAAAAGTACTAAGAAGAATGCTGAGTTTGTTATGGAAGTGGTACGATATTTTGTCAGTGAAAAGTAGTTTTAAGAAATTTTAGGCTTAAAATTAGTCAAAGTTGATTCAGTATTAGGGTTAGCATTTTATTATCTTTATAAATGTAATTTAAGACCTTTTATTGACAATAAATTCTAGGAAGAAAGATGTGAGGTTTATATTATTTTTATTTTTTAGCCTTTTCTCTGGCGTTTCATCGCCAGGATGTAATGGTTAGTGTGAATGAAAATGTATTTAAATTGAATTAGCGAAAAGGTTAGTCACAGCGTGTTTCGCTTATAAGTGCGCACGTTGTTGTTTCTACCAGCTGTCTGAATTCAGAATCTTGGCTTCGCATACCGACGACATTTAATATCACGGTGTAGGTTTCCAAGTCAACCTGCTAGTTTAAATTAATTTGTAGTCTTCAAGTACTAGCTTATCTTTACATTTAGTTTAGTTTGATCACCATTAAGTGTATAATATATTTGTAAGCACAAAGACTGTACTGTTAATAATTGAGCTTCTTCTTTTACACCCTTCACCTGTAGTATTAATCTTCTAACCTTCGCGATAAGTCGCCAACAGACTTTCAAGTAAGTCTAGTAGCAGCTTATGCTAGCCACGTTAAAGAACAACGAACAAAATATTCCAAAGTCATATAAAATTTTTATTTTGAGAATTATTATAAACATATCTGCCTCTTACTTTAATGTTTGATGAAATTCACCTAAATCAAGCATCTTATTATAAAGATGGTAATTTGTGTGGAATGACAAATATTTACAAAAAATGCTGCTACATTGTCATGATTGGCAGCCTTTTATCTGTTTATAAGAAGTTGTACTTTTTCTGCTGGTGAAAAGAATTTGTGCAGATAACATGTATACTCATTTTTAAAAAAAAGGTAGAGCGATTGTTAGTGACAACAACAATTTTAAACTGTTTGGGTTTCTTTGCTGCGTTAACCATAAGGCCGATTATTATCGGCCAGGAGGGTTGCAGCACACTCGTATGTTACATTACATTAGTGTTTGTGTTTAAAATTACTGATGTCCCTAATAATAATTTTATTAATAAGAAGGCTATATTTTCAGAACCACCTAAAGTTAATACTGTTTATCAAAATCCTGTTGATGATTCACATATTGAAACTGTATTAAAAAATTACATTAATTTGAACTGATAGTTCTTAAAATATGCTTATGCCCTGACAATAAAAGCTCTATATCCAACTAACTTAGAAAAATAAAGTGTAAAGCTTGCATTGTAGATTTGATAATGTTGCTGAAACATTGTTGTCTTTTGGGCAGTAGAAAGAAATAATTAAGTTTCAAGAAACTGGGAAAATTTTTTAAAACAGCAAACATTTAGCGGTAAATTGTAAATGTGAAATCCATTTTTAAAGGGCTTCATTTGAAATATCCTTTCACAGTAACAGACAATTATATAAATATATATATATGATGAAAATGATGAATAACTTTTTGTATTGGTTAGATGGTTGGAAAAATTTGAATTGAACCCATGGTTGCCTAACCCATGAAACTCACTTTGCAGTACACCACACAGCATATGCTTTAATTGAGATATCAAGTTATTGCACAAATGAACTAGATTTTAAATATTTTTTATTTGGCAAAATACAAAGGGATACATTACAAGCTAGATTTGGTAAGTACAGGCAACATGCTGGAGCTCATCATAATATTTCTATCAGACAAGTTTATGAAACAGAGGGTAAATTAAGATTTCAAAGTACATTAGGAAAACTCCTCTTCACATATCTGATTTTAAAGACACCGAAGAACAAGCTTTTGACGACACTGATGCACAAACATTTATACATGATATAACAGCTGATGATAGTGATATACATGACATAAAATTAGATATACCTATTTATTACAATATCCTAATTACAAGTTCGTGACATAAGTAAATCCAGTGCAGTACAAAGTCCGTCGTTCGGACTTGTCGGGACTTCGGCGATCCCGGATTTGGGATTTTTCCGGATATTAGATCATCAGTTTAAAACTTGTAAGAAGGCATGTAGAAATTATAAAATTAAAAATATGAAATCACGATTTATGAAATAATGAAGAATTTATGATCTAAAAGGTATTTATTTGTTTACGTTATTGAACATTTCTTTCAAAGTAGGTTGTTTAAGTAGCTTTTTTGTGCTAATATTTTTTTTAAATTCTGTAGACAGACTTAATTTCTTATTCAGTTAAAGTTCCATTGTTCAAGGTCTTGCAATTGCTGTGTCAAGAATTCTATTATATATATATGAAACGGAAATTTTGAATTACATGGTAATGGACAGAATAACATTTTGAATACCGCTATGAATTGCAACAAATGTTGAATCACCAATACCATAAAAAATTATGTACTTAGTAACATCATTTTCACTGCTGAAGGAATGACCACTATGGCTCCACGAAGTGAATTAAAAAAGTTTACCTTTCAGTGGATGCTTCTAAAATGTGGCCAGTCTGAGATAGCAGTTATTGAATCATTTTAAATGTTTCAGTTGTCCTGTCATTTTAGAATTCACATCTGAATTTTTATAGATGCAAAAAGCATTAAAATATGTTGTATACTATGAGGAATACAGTATTAAGTAGAATAGAAATGTACAATACTGCATACATTTGAAGTAATCTAACATACACAAAAATACCCTAAGTATGCTGATGCATAAAAAGAAAATATATCATAAAAAGAAAATATGTCAAAACAGTGAAATTTGAATCCACATTAGCTCACCACAATTTGATTAGCTCACATTCAATTTATGTCATACTAAAGATATAGCATCACACTGAGCAAAATTACACCGCTTAGAAATGCATTCAAGGCTAAAATCAAAATTCACAAAACATACCCAGCATTCAATGGTGTATAAGTACAAAACTATTAAAAATACATAGTACTGGCAATCTCTTTTGCCCACAAGGGTATACATTAAGGTGGAAGGATGCCTTCTTGCAGGATGCTTTAAGAGAAACTGCCGGAATTCGGATGGCATATACATCAGACATTGTGCAAAGTTTAAGAAAAAGTAAACATTTAACCAAAAAAAAAAAAAAATAAATAAATAAATAAATAAATAAATAAAATATGAACAATAAATAGACTACAAAACTGTGCAATAGTTAGTACTCACCTATGATCAGAGGATGAACGTTGATGTAATCCACAATTTTTGGTTTGGAAATGTTGAAAGATGGTGAATCATTAAAAACAAAAGTACTTATGAATATTTCGCAAAACTTCATTCAGAAATGTTCAGTGTGATGCTATAATCCTTAGTATGACATAAATACTTTCATTATGGTATGCTCTGCTCGTACCATAATGAAAAGTTATCATGGTATGAGGCAGATCTTTGTTGTCCGTAGCACATTAAATAACATTCACAACATTTATCGAGAATTTCAACCAGATAAAATACACAATAAAAATGTGTCTTTATTTCAAGACTTCAAATATGAGCACATACAGGATAAACTCTATTTTCCACACTTCTACAAATGTCTCCTTAGGGTTACCATATTTATCAGCAACAATGCACATTTCTTTATCGCTTACCGTGACTCATCACCACAGTATCTTCGTATCTATGTATTGAACAAATTTTGAAATTTAGTATTTTTACACCTAAATCACTTGGACTTGAGAACAATTATAAATTTCACAATCAGTTTCAACAGAAAATAGGCTTTGTGTTTGAATATTCACTTCACAGAATTTACTAGCTGAGTAAACGGATAATTTCTAAAGGCTTACCCCTAAAACAAAAGATGCCCCAGGGGAATCACTAACTACTTTGGTGAACACCAAATTGATCTTTATGTGATTACAAGCAAATTTGAGAGGACGATTAAACTAATTTTCAATGATCTACAACCAGACTGTTCCACTGAGAACATTACAAAAGAGTTCAAAAACCGAGGCTTCCAAGTGAAAAAAAGTCTCACAAATATTTTGAATCAATACAAAGGTTCCTCTCCCTTTTTTTACAAATAGAATTAATGAGCCTCGTGTTGAGCGGATGTACAAAACTGTATTTTTCTATATCTGTTGTGTCGTATAAAGTTAAAGGAGGTGTTTCACAATGCCACAATTGCTAGCACTTCAAACATTCACCTGACACATCCAAATTAAAGCAATACAGTACTAAGCTTATCTGCCCACAAAGCTTTGATTGTGTTGATATGGGAATACATAATGTAAAATGCTATAATTATCAACAAATGGGACATGATGCAGATTATCGCGGGTTTCTGAAATTTCCAACAAATCAGTCCCCAAAGTTGCTCGTAGTAAACCTGGTATCACAAATAACTCCTTAGAAAAGTCGATTACAGGCATTAAATATACTGCTGTCACTCTTAACATGTTATGTGCAAATGCTGCTAAGAACTGCACTGAAACTGATGGGTCAGGGCTTTTAGGGCTTTGTCTGACATCTTCAAACTCCTCAAAGAATTTCCTGACATATTTAAGATTGTAAATATCATTAAAAAAAGTCTTTGTAAAATTATCTACCTTCAGGGTGCAGAAAACTCAGCCGATAAACTGTTTATTTTCTTCGTTATATTCAAAGACGTTTTAAGTTCTGAAAATCTTGAATGTCTAGTAAACTTCACAAATCTTTATGTGTTATTTACATAGATTGTCTTGTAAATAAAATGAACTTCAGGACATTATAAATTAGTACTCTCATGATATTAAGTTCATAGAAGAACATAAGCTTAGCCCATATGCTCCAATCTTTGTGCTTAACTATTCTGTCTATAGAAACAACAGATCCAAGAATCATAGTAGTTCTAGAGGAGGTCGAAATGTATTCCCCATTACACTCTAGCAATTCCACAGATTTCAGGCATTGAGGCCTCAGCTATTTCACCCAGGAAAAACATAACATTTGTCTCCACATCTATCATGTCTGAATTGCTTTGCATACCTATATTTACAGCACTGACTATAACTATAGCTCTCCAGAAAATGTCAAGAAAGAAACATTCTTAATAACCTTACATAATGCCATGTCACTTATGTAACTGACATTTATCTTTCTATAATAATATATTTCTTGGTTGCCTATTCTGATCACAGATTTATCTTACGTCCTGCATCATGTAGTTCTTCAAAAGCCCTCGGTGTGACTGCATTTTTAATATTAACCTGTGTTCTTCTTTCGAGCATTTTGAGCAATGAACTACACCTGTTTTCTGATCAGCTAATTCAGCTTTTCATTTCTTCAAATTCTGCGAAGTGTTGTCATGCTAGTAAACTATCACAATATTAAACTAATTTTATAATTTAGTGTTTTATAACTAAATCATTTTCGCATGAGAATAACTTAAAAAGTTTACAATCAATTTTGATAGAGGTTGGGCCTTGTGCCTGAGTATTGTGGTGATTACACCTTTCAACCCCTGTGTGTCTCTTAATCTGTCAGTGTGATATTTTTTACCCCAAGCATGGTTCGTACACATTTCTGCACATGGAAATTAAGTACTTTTAAGTACTCCTAATTCACTCTCAAAATGACAGTTGTAAAAACATACAGAAATTTCAGATGATTAAAATTAAGGCCTTTCTGCTGATTTTGGCTGAAATTAAGGACTTTTAAGAACCAAAAATAGATTGCAAAAAAAAAAAAAAAAAAAAAAAATCTAAGGACTCTTAAGGGCCATACGAACCTTGATCAAGTAATGAAGTTCTTCGGCCACAGATTTAAATTTTAAAATTTCTGGGAAAAAAAAAATAAATCTTGTTCTTGAATGGGCATGTGCAATAAATGTAAAAAAGTAGGCCAAAAACATTTTCAAAACTACACAAGGGAAAAATTAGCCATTTGGTAATTTGTGATACAATAAAAGATTTCTATTTTGGTCTTTTCAGTTTTTAACAGAATGAATGCTCAGAATAATGATGAATTTAGCCAACTTCATTATGTTAGTATCTACATTCATCACCACAAACATTTACACACCAACATTAAGTTATCAGCATCAAATGAAATTTTACATAGAGTGCAACACTGATAGAAGTGATTACAAAATGATAGCAAAAGGAGCATTTATTACAGGAGAAAAGGATCCCCCCCCCGCTAAAAGAATAGAAATTAGTATAAGCATTTTATGAAAATGTAATATATCCAAACAAAAATGCCTAACGGCTGGCTCTAATACATTTGAATTCATGAACTTTAAAATGATGAAACCAGACTTTGAAAAATTATTAAATACATTCAGCACTAATCCGTACAACAAAATATGTTAACTGCTTTTTTTTATTGTTTCCTTCAGATAGAAAATAAACCTATACTTAAATTAATACCATGTACAAAACCCAGCAATATTAAAAACATTACGAATGATAAGTTTACTTACTAATTCTGCCAATATCATTATCAACTGCACCAGTCGAACAACTTTTTTCACCACTAAGGTAAATAACAAATAATATAACTAGCTAATTGATTATACCTGGATGTATATCATAATATGTTTTCATAAATCAAACAAAACTGAACAAAGACTAGGATATAAATTGTTTAACAAGATTAAACAATTTTAAGATTTCATAAAGATTTCCAAACTGGTGAATTTAAAAAATTTTATCAAGTACACTTCATTATTTTATGTGATATTCAACATTAATCAAAGTTATACAACTTTTCATTCTTCACTACAACAACAGTAAAGTGTTGCAAGTTTGATAACTTTTCATTCTTCACTACAACAACAGTAAAGTGTTGCAAGTTTGATATGGAATTGTAAATCCACACATGGAATTGGTCAACTTTCCTGTTGAACAGAAAATGAATGCAGTCCAACATATTTATAAGCTTGAAAAAAATCCCTCATCCAGCTATTACATGTTACAGAATGTTTAAATCTTTCAAGATGATAATGCATCATGCCTTCAAGCTTGAACAGTGGACAAATGGTTTTTATCTAAATCAATCCAAAAATTGCAATGGCCTGCCACATGACCAGTAGAAAATATTGAACAGCATTAACACATAAAGTGAGTATAAAGAATCCAAGCAATAAAGAATGAAATGATGTAATATGACAGCATTCACATAACTCTAATGAATGACCTAGCCAAAACATGAGTACTATGTGCAAGTGATCTGCATTAGTAATTTAAATCAAAGATTCTTCATATTAAATATTAATAATTTAGACAGCTGGAAATAATAAATCAATCCTTGTAAAATGTTTGATATTTTGCAATTTCACCTTATTACTTTCTTTTAAATTTAAAAATTATTTATAGTTTATAAAAAAAGGATAAAAAACTATTTTATTAACTTCACTGTTCTTCCTATTTTCTCAGACATTACGCTTAAAAAAAAAAACTTTTCTCTTGAGAAATTAAATTTCCATAAAATTAACTTCAATATCATACATTATTTATTAATGCTAACATTTATTTTTTAGAATGTGGTTACATGTAAAAAATACATGCTTTTATTAAGTGATACTTTCTGATTATCTGCATTCCAATCAAAAAGCCTTTAAAATATACTGATGAAACACAACCACATATGGCCAAAAAGTATTTGCTTGTCAAACCCCGCATATGCGCAGCACACGTTTTGATTTGAAAGGAATTTATTTGTACTTTCGAAATTCAAGTTGCTTTTCTAATTAGTATTTCTTTTTGTCCCAACGAATCATGATGGAACTGTGGAGTTTGCCCACTTTTATATTCAGTATGTTAAAGTGCATATTGAAGTTTCAGCTGTGTTTGGGTATGAGATCATGGCTGGTGCACAATTCTTGTGCAATTCTCCATTTTTAAAGTAAAATTGGGTCAGTGTACAAAGGGAAACAAGCACAGTGAAATTACAGAAAAATTTCTTAAGTGTTTCATTTTCTTTAATCAATGTAAAAAATAAGCAGCAATGGACACATTTTTGAAATACCTACAAAGATACTCAACGTTTTACCCAAACAAGCTTGTGACTTTTCAATGGGAATGTGGATAATCAGAACGTACCCAAGACGTGTTGCAGAAGTCAACCTAGTTTAAAACACCAATACTTATTGGAAAAATTATATTTTTACAGTAATTAAGTGCACATATATCTTTCTCAGAATTCTTTCACTTACACCATTCCTCCATTTACAGCGAAAACTACTTCATCAAATCTGAAAGAATTATTTAAAAATTTTTTATTATTTATTATTTGTAGTACAGTATGCATCTTTCTTTTTAATTTTTAATGAACCAATGGACATTTTTATGAAAAATTTATTATGTTAATGAAACAAGTTAATGAAACATATTTATGTTAATGAAACAAGCTGTTCAAATGTTACATTAAATGTTATTACACTAAAAGCATTTATAAAAATATAAACATGCACACAACATCTTACAAATTCATATACAATAATAAAAGATAAAAAATATTCCTAAAAATATAAAATGAAAAATTGTTCATCACAATTTAACTTGAATGTAATGCTCAAAATGTATAACTGCAACATGAATTAGTTGAGAATCTCACGGCATTCCAATACGATTCTTTGCAACCTTGGATGAAGTCGTATATCATCTATATCATTCTCAGTCATTTGCTCGTTGATGGCTTTTGCGCCAAGAACTCGCAGTGGGAAAACTAAAACAATAGCAAAAAATGCCATTAAACAAAAGGACACAATATACTCCTATCAAAAGTTATAAAGAACCTTCTTTGTCATAGTTTTAATATGATATCAAAGGTTCATAAAAATTGAAAAACATATACAGTTGACGCTTTCCATAATGACCACTTGTTATAGTGACCATTATATTACAATGACAAAATGGCCCTACCTATTGACAGTACATTAAATCAATTTTTTTGCTATGCTATAATGACTTTTTATGACAAAGTCCTTGTTTCTATAGGACATAAAGGATCATTATAATGAGCGTCACTGTACAAATATAAATCAGATAAACAGCTACTCATTTGAAAATGTAACACTATTTCTAACTATTAAATATAGTGTAAATGGAAAAGCTTATAATGGATAGATTTAGTTTAAACATTGCAGTCTAACATAAAGCAAAATCATCCTAATGCACTGAGGGAATTACAAGAGAAGAAATTTCAAAGTTTTAATTTATATACAATGCACACAAGTATAAGATTTTCCCTTATATTATAAGGTATTTCTCCTGCTTTCCTAGCCGTGCGTTCGTGGTGTAGTGGTTATGCATGCTGGGCCGGTATTCATAGAGATTCATTCGAGAGGTCCGTGGTTCGATTCCCGGCAAAGGCGGTTGCTAATTTTTGAATCTCTCTTCAAAAAATCCTAATGTCTCTACAGTGGTGCCGAAACTAAAAGGTTGTTGGATGAGTATTCTCCACACCCTGGATTTGGCGATTGGGTCCCCTAGAAACCCCAGTCACCCTTTAAAAAGGGGAGTATATAAGGTATTTCTCCCACTTTCTTAGTGTGTCTTCATGGTGTAGTGGTTCTGCACGCTGGGCCGGTATTCCAGAGGTCCGTGGTTCGATTCCCAGCGAAGGCGTTTGCTCACTTTTCATCTTGCTTGCATCCAAAAATACCTTGTCTCTACAATATAATGTTGTAATTTTCATGAAGTTTCTATCAGAATAGAATTTTATGTATAATAGCAACTCTGCAATTTTTTTTTTTTTTTTTTTTTGGTATAAAAATAAACTATATTACTATATTTATTCTCCTAGATACACTTTGAGATGCCATGGATAAATCACATACCGTATTTTCAGGCGTATAACATGCATCTATATTCGGCATATAATGCGCACCCAATACTTACGAAGAATTTAAAAGATATGAGTAATGCTCTTTCTTATCTTTCGAAGTGACTTCTTCAAAGATTTGTCCTAGCCCTTTGAACAACGATATACTGAACTGACAAGCGGAACAATATGCATGTGGATTAAATGCTTGAGGGAGGAAATATTCCTGCAAAGAGGATGGGTTGTATTCAATGCAGGTGTCCAACAAAATAATAAAGTAGGATTTCAAGAAAAGGGGATATAAAGAATGCACTTCCAACCTCAATAAATTTGTAGAATTAGGAGTTAGATGTTTTCTCTTTTTGTAGTCATTTGAAGCCATGATTCTGAAGTGGAAATCATTTTAGGCTTTAGTAAATCTATTGAATTTATCGAAGGGTTTAGTAAATCTAAATCACATTTGCTTTAGTTGAAATACAGTTGAGCTAGTGTTCCTTTTAGTAGTAAATAAGGCTTGCACGAAAAGAAACAAATACAGCGCTGGTTTCAAATGTAAAGCCATTCATTTTGTGAAAGAAAATGATAATCAAGCAGCAGCAAGGATGTTTGGTATTGGTGAAAACTCCATACATGACTGGAAGAAAAATGAAATTACAGTAATTAATATGCCAAAGAATAAATGTGCTTTGCGTAAAGAAGTAACAAAATAGCCTTTCCTAGAAGAAAGTGTTGTGAACTGGGTCCTAGAAAAGCATTCAAATAGATTAATTATGAGAAGAAACAGTATACGTTTATTTGCCTTAAAATGGGCCAAAAAGAATGCAAATGAAAGTGAAAACTTCAAAGCAACTTTTGTAACAGATTTAGAGTGAGCTTTTTTTGTCTTTAGTGAGCTTTTGTAACGGATTTACGGCACAGAATAATTTAGTTCTACAAGAAAAAAAAAGTTTCACAAAGGCTTCCAAAATATTTGAATAATAAATTGATTAGTTTCCAGAAGTATCTTATTGACCTACAAAGGCAGGAAAAGTATTTACTGTCACGTATTAGAAATATGGATACTCCCGTAATGTTTGATAGGATAGGAAATAGAACAATTGATGTGAAAAGAACAAAACAACAGGTCACAAATGATCTCACTTCACGGTAGTGCTTTTTGGCTTAGCGGACGGTTAAAAATTAAAACCCGTGGTAATTTTTAAAAGAAAGACAACACTAAAATGTAATTTCCTAAATGGTATTTTCATTTATGTTCATGAGAAAGGATGGAGGGCAGAAAACAGTGTGAAATTATGGCTAAGAAATGTTTGGCAAAAGCATCCTTTTACCTTAAATAATCCAGAAAGTCTTTCAGTCTGGGACATGTTCAGAGATCATCTAAAGGATGATATGAAGAAATTCTTGAAAGAGTGTAATACAGACATGACAGTTATTACAAGTGGATTAATGCCATTAGTTCAGGCTTTAGATGTGAGTATCAATAAACTGTTCAAAGCAAATTTAAAGCGATAGTGGAATACGTGGATGTCAGAAGGTGAAAAAACATTTACAAAAGGAGGCCAAGTATGCCATGCCAGTTTACAAATAGCGATACTGGAATACGTGGATGTCAGAAGGTCAAAAAACATTTACAAAAGGAGGCCAAGTATGCCATGCCAGTTTACAAATAGTGTGTGAGTGGATAATAAAAGAATGGAATGAAATTAAACACGACATAATTCACAAGTTATTTAAAAAATGCAGTATACCTAATAATCTAGATGGAATGGAAGATGATTATCTATTTACGGATCACAGTAACAGCGATTGTGAAGATGAAACAGAATTTGATGACGTGCCTGATAATATAACAGAAGAGGAATATGATGACCTTTTCATGTTATCCGATAATGCAAATTTTGAAGTTCCTAAGGTATTTCATTTCTTTCAAATAAACAACATTTAGATGCATATAGAAATCTAATTTTTTTTTATGCTCATTTATGCGCACACGTAAATTTTGATATTTTTTTTAACATTGAACGTGCCCATATATGGTGGAATATATGGTAATTTATATTACAGCAAATAACATATATCAGTATTCTAGAACTTACAATCCTAACAATTTTTACTTTTTACATATAGCTTTAAATGGCAAAAGATGCACTAATTTTGGAATAGAAGTTTAATATTTTAAAAAATCACAATAACTGTGCATTATTTATGTTTAAAAAAAAGCACTTCTTTCACAGAATTTTAAAAAAGCTTATAATTTTAAACTATTATAAGAGGAAAATTTGGGAACTCTGAACAATACATCCGAATTTTTATGACACACTTTCTTAGGCTTGAAACGTAACTCTTTTTTTTTTTAATCTCTCAAAAGTTAATCAAGCATCTTTGAACACTAAATAATTTAGAAGACATCAAAACAAATTAACTAATTAAAAAACAAAAAACGCAGTTTGCAATTTCATGATATTTATAGAAAAAACCTAACTAAATCTAAAATTACCAGTTTTGTTCACAAAGCTTACATAAAAAATAAGCTTCCTCTATTTTTCTATGAAAGATTACCTCTCGCCAGCAAGGATATTTACAATCATATAAACATGCATCTGGATGCTTTGCCTTTTTATTACATATCAATACAGTACAAAGTCAAAATCTGGACATCCAATAACTAGAATCTTTTATTACCTGGAACCCCCTCCATGAAACCTTTTTCTTTTTTCCTTTTAAATCTTTCCTTAAAAATCATCCCACAGGTTGTTTTGACTTTAAACACCTTTTGGCTAATGAATCACATTTTCATTTTTGGCTCTTTGAACGGTTATTGAAGGTATCATTTTATTATCTTGTCTTAGTACACAATAAGTGAATTCTGAAGACCACTATTTGTATGGAATGGAATGTTACATACGTTGGTTTCCATAGCAAGGAAGAAGGCTAGGATGATAATGCCTCAAAAGGTTTACTGAAAATGAAAATATTTCAATTTATCACTTAATAGTGGCTCTCAAGATGGCAGTTATAGGACTTAAATAATGAAATTTTGTAACTGAACAAGAAATTACGTCTCTCTGTAAAAATAGAGAAAATATTAACAAGCAAAACAAAACTGTTTAAACAACTTATGTTTAAAAAAAATAATGAAATAAAACAAATATTAACACTGAGCTTCTTCATTTGTTATAAATTTTGTCCATGAGATAATAAATGCTTCATTATTTCAGAAACAAGCCTCCATATTTGTAATTTTATGATTTCTAATGTAATTTTACTAGATTTAAATACATGATCAAAAATCCAGAAATTTCCAGTCTCAAATTGTTAGAGTACTGGCAGTTCCAGTCTTTGTACTGTATATAAATCATAAATAAATGTGGAACATTGTAAAAAATTTAACAACTTACATGAATTATAGTTAACATTAAATTCATATGAATGAAGGAGAAATGTTTTTAACTTGATTAATTATTATTTATTTTCAATGAAAAATAAAGCATTCCTTACAGTTCCAGCTGTTAAAAATAAAAATTAATCTAAGATGATGACAAGAAACAACAACACACAAAGTCAATTGTGATAATTTTTTTTTAAATATAAAATAAAAAATAAAATCAACCAGAATCGCTGGAAGCAATTTTATACGACTCCAGAACCATATCTTGCAACTTTCTTGGAAGATTTAAAGCTCTGATATCCTCTTTATGACTCAAGCTTTTTATTAATGGTTTCGGCACACAGCTCTTGAAGTTCAAAAACTGAAATAGGAAAAAATCATTATGTTACTATGAAAAATAACAAAAAACTTTTTTTTGCAAAATTTTTTAATATTAAATTGATATTAAATCGAAATATTAAATTGTTAATGCACACAAAAGACAATATTACAGTCCTTGCACATAAAACACTGCATTGTGAATCAAAACCATAAGCAGTTCACATAAACAGATTGGACCGGTAGCGAAAACTGGTTCTTCCAATGTGTCCCATTCACACGGCAACTAACATTAACTGTTTCTCCGAATTGGAGGTAGAACGTTCCTACCTCTCGGGAGCAGGGCAAATGGGAAGATTTCCCATACTGCACTGCACCATTGCATGGTTCACTTAATTTTAAGAAACAACATGGCTGACGTGAAAGTGACTGCTTGCTGGATTGTCAGTGAAACAATCGCATTGGTAGATATCTGAGGATGCAATATCATCCAAAATACTAGAACCATACGAAATACGGAAATTTGTAAACAAGTACAGACAATGTTATCTGATGCTGGGTATTCCAGAAATACTGTTTAAATTAAAACTAAAGACTCGCATATCACCTTCAACTCGACAAGGGGGTTTGGTACCTTTTGAATGATTTTTTTATTTAAAAACTTTTATATACTTTTATGAATATTATTAAATAGTTTTGTAAGACAAAATAATTTTAAGATGAGAAAACTTTTTTTGCCAGTATTTTTTTAAAATTTAAACCTTTGAAAGAAAAGTTAAAAGTTTAACAATTAAAATGTCATTCATCTACAGTTTTCAGTGACTTTCCCCATATTTTCTTATTATATTTTATTAGAAAGTTCTTAATAACTTTATGGATCGATTTTGCAATTAATGAATTAGTTTCTGAGAAAAAATAAAAACAAATTTTTATGCAAAAATTTTGAAACAAATATGATCTCAATTACATTTCCACTTCAAATAATTTTTCTTTTCAATATTTGCCAAAAAACCCATTCTTGTTTCTATAAAGTATATAATTTTAATTAAACTATAAAAAATATTAAATAATTTAGGCCATACCTATATGTTTTAGGACTTTAAATAAAAGGATTTATTGAAAAAAAATGCAAATTGAGAAAATGCAGTTTAAAGAATATAAGCTGTTTATATGGTCATTAAATCATTTCAAATTTCTTAAAAATTGTATTACTGAATTTCATTACATATAAAGTCAAAAGTCGTTAATTCGGATACCCATAATCTCGAATGATCTATAATCCGGACCTCAAAGCTACAAACTTTCTGCGCATGCGTCGCGTTGACGCAAGCGCATAGGCGTTGTTTACGCATGCGCGTAAGACCTTTACGGCTGCGCATAATACATTTACGCATGCGCGTTTGACGTATAACGGACGGTATAAGCTAAAATTATCTAATTATCTATTTCAGTTAATGTTGCAGATTGCGTTGTTCCTTAATCTTCGAATTGGATCCGGCTTATTATTTTTTGCAGACTGTTAGAGCAATTTTATAAAAGTAAGCTTGAACTTTCGATTATGTCAAATAGAATTTCCGATGCTGGAACTCCCAAAGGATCTACAAAGCGAAAGTATGTTTCGATGTCCATCAAACAAAAAGTGGAATTGCTGCGAAAAATGGATAAAGCCATGAAGAAAGTGACAGAGAGGTTAGTGAAAATGAAAAAATTTCGATTGCCAAGTTAGTCGGTATTCTCGGCACAGCAATTACAGGAGTTGAACAGCGAAACTTTGTAACTGAACAAGAAATTATGTCTTTTTATATAGAATTAAAGAGAAAGTATTAGCACATAAAACAAAGCAACTTAAACAGCTTACATTGAAAGAAATGTTTAATAAAGTAAACAAATAAATATTAAGCCTTTTTTTGTAAATTTTGATACCCTTTAGATCATAATTGTTCTTCATTTCATAAATTACGGTTTCATATTTTTAATTTTATAATTTCTGCATGCCATCTTACCAGATTTAAACTGATGATCTATAATCCGGAATCGCCGAAGTCCCGACGAGTCCGGATTAACGACTTTTGACTGTAGATAAAATAAAACCTAGTGCTATTCAATTGGTTAATATAAATATAAATTACAAGCTTTCATTTCAAAACTTCGTAAAACATGTTCAAAACAATTTTAACAGATGAATTAATTATATTTTCTAAAATGTTTATAATCAATATTAAAACATTTACAATTAATATTAATGCTATTAATTTGTCGTTTTATTCATTTTTTCAAAAAGCAAAGTTTGAAATTTTAGCAACCACAAAACATTTTATTTAAAACCGCTCAACAGCATATGTGGTTTCTTTTCTTCTTTGAATCATTTGGTCTCGTATATAAATTGCATTTAAAATTAATTTAGGTGTATTTTAATTAATTAAAGAGTTAAACTCCGATGGCGTTCTATAGCAATTGTAAACAATGTCAAAAAAGATGTAAGTAAACGTTAGAAACCCGCCAATCTGATTCGGGTTCATGACATCATTTATTGCTCGCACTGGCTTATGGGTTAAGAGATGAAAGACGATGTGCATATGAACCAGTCCTGAAGACGAAACTGCTTCATATCCCCGTTTCTCCCTAACACAAACGGCAGCTGTGCGAAAGAGCGTTGCATGTGAACGGGGCTAAAGTGCTTAAAAGGGGAGAGTGTTAACCAACTTTTATGAAAACATTTTTCAAACATTGTTACACCTACAGCGTCAAGAAGGAAGCGGTAGGCCTAGAGAAATGGAATATAAGTTTATTTCAAAATACGAGTTTTTAAGTTTCCTTTTTCGTTAATTTCTGCAAGTACTTCCAAACAGATAAAAACTAACAAAAGAAAAAATATACTGATGGCTACATTAAAGATTGCAATATGAGCAAAAATGTTCACTAAATCTGTACTACTGTTTTTATACTGACATTTCACTTTATTTTCAGATGATGACAATCAGTCTTAGCTGCTATTCTTTATGTTTGTACCTTGTATAGCAGTAATCCAACAGCATATGAGGATAGATTTTCAGTGTGAACTACTTTCCTTAATGAAAACAATCTCCTTTCATATATACATATATATATGTAATATATCCAAACTCAGAAGCAATGTCCAGCAGCAGAAATTTTGATAGCGTAAAAATGTTGATCCATAATGACTAAAAAATTGGAGGCGAAGGCAAATTTAAATCTTCATTTTTTATTTTAGCAAACATGTTGTGGCGACAATCAAGTTGGCACATTAGTTGTGCCTATTCCAAAAGATTTTACATTTTAGACAAATTTGCAATAAGAAAGAACAGACAGACTTCAGTGCAGCCAGGCCAAAGCATAGAAGAACATTTGCATAGAAAGCAAATGTTCAGGATGATATCTCAAGTCAGACAGAGTTGGTTTTGGTTTTCAAAGCATTTTGATTGGACAGTTAATATTGATGTAAAATTACTATTGGCTGGTTGAATTTTAGTTCCATTTACATCATCATAATTACGTAAGAATCATATGACATAGATTTTTCTCGAAATGACGCAGTGCAAATAGATGTTGCTATTTTGAAATGACGCAGTGCAAATAGATGTTGCTATTTCGAAATGATGCAGTGCAAATAGATGTTGCTATTTTTAGAATAGAGAAGGGAAATTTACATTGCTAATTTAATCTTTAACATATTCTTTATTTTTCTCACATATTGTTGAAAATTTTGAATACGAATTTTATAATTATTCTGAAAATGAAGTAGATGTAAAAAAAAAATAAGCGAAATTATTTGTATGTTAAGTATAGAGTATTCCGAGGGAGTACTGGGTTCCTAAACAGAGGCCTGTAATTACCTCTGTACAGTTGTTCCTTTTACCCTCTTCATGTAAGAGGCCCACCAGCGGCCGAGCGGTAAAGTCGCTGAACACTGGTAGTTCGGTCCGAGGTTCGAACCCCGCGAACGGGCTGGCTGCACGGGTGTTTTCGTGGCTTTCCCCATGTGTAACGTGTATACGAGCCAGTTTCCCTTAGAAAGTCCTCCACGAAGGCATCCCTCCCCTTAGGCAGATAGCCCTCGAGGCTTTGCCATAATTACACCACACACACACACACTTCATGTAAGATAATATTGGAGGCTCTCATTTTATGATTGAGTGTAATTTTTTTTTATATTATACTTTTTTATAGTGGAATGTATTAGTGCAGTTCTCAAAGGCCAGTTACCTTATGCAAGGAACGGAGGCCTTTTCAAGTAACTGCCTAGGCACCATGGGGCACCAGTGCAGAGAACACACTGGTTAGCTCAAGAGGACAGTCCTATTGATGGATATGTTTGTTTAGAAGTATTGCGAGACCTTTCAGTTTGTTAATCAGGAATTGTAAATGAAAGATAATAAATAATGGTGAAACCATAATTTGTGAAAATTTTACTCCTATTATATTTATGGTGTTAAAATATAATTTATCAATACGGAAATTAGTATCATAAATGTTTATGTGTGTTACATTTAATTATGAGTAATGATTATGTAAAAGTTTATTTTGTGATATTCTGTGATAACAAGAACCTTCCTGAAGAATTATGATTATGCAAACTCTCAAACAAAAAGACTTTTGGACTGAAATGCTGAAAAAAATCAATGACTCTAAAAATTAAAAATTTATTTAAAAAAATTGATATTTATATATTATACTTTACAGGTAAAAATTTTATGATTTTTTTTTATTTGCTAGTGTTTTAACGCCTTTTCTTTAAAAAGGCTTCTCTGTCGCTACGCCTTTTTTTTTTCTTGAAGGGAGGAGGGGGAGAGAATATGTAAGAAAAATAAAGAATATGTTAAAGATGAAATTAGCAACTTAAATTTCCCTTCTCTATTCTTAAAGTAGCAACATGTATTTGCACTGCGTCATTTCGAGAAAAATCTATGTCATATGATTCTTAAGTAATTATGATAATGTAAATGGAACTAAAGCTCAACCAGCCAATAGTAATTTTACATCAATATTAACTGCCCAATCAAAATGCTTTGAAAACCAAAACTAACTCTG